TGTGTGTGTGTGTACACATAAAAACATGTTTGATTTTTCAAGATTATTGTTTGATATTTTTATATTGACTGCTTATTAATTTGAATTTTTTTAATATTTAATATATTAGTTTCTAATATTATAAATTACAATTTTTCTTATAGGAATCAAGCAACGGTACCACCTCCAACGGTACCACCTCCAAAAATTAATTTATCAAAATATAGTTCTCTTAACAGGTAAATAGCTGTTATTTAATGCCACATTTAAATAATTTTATTGACAATGAATGCTAATGATTTTTAAAAACTATTATGATACATAATTTTATTAACCTTAAAACCAAATTTACTATTATACATAAAGAATATTAAAAGTTATTTATATATAGATATATATTATATATCAGTTGATTTATTTATTATTTATTGCCTCTCAGTTCTCATTTCCTAACTGAGCATCTATTACCAGATTATTTAGGAATCTTTTTGTAATATTTTATTATGATAACATACACTCTTCATTGTAATAAAAAAGTTCAAACAATAATAAAGCCAACCACTGCCATATGCCAATGGGCTATGTGACGACTATAATAATAATAAATTACCAAACAGTTTGATAGCCTGATGGCATATGGCAGTACTTGGTTTTATTGTTATATTGTATCGGGTTTTCATAGTGTTGTAAGTTCAAACAAAATTAGTGTGTCAAAAATTGTTAAAATCATATCAATAATGAAAAAACTTAAATTTCTTATTTGAATGTAAAAAATTATGCAAGGTAAATTATTCTAAATGAAGCATAAATAAGTATAAAGTACTCAAAAAAACCAAAGGATTCAATAGTAAACATATGTTTTCAATTGCTTTGAGCAACCACCTTCGGATTAAAAGTACATTCAGAAAGAGAACATGAAATGGAATGTTACACAGTGAAACCTGGTTAACTCAAATTGGTCAAGGGGGAAAAATTTGGACTTTAAAAATTATGTTGTGCTAAAAATGGTTTAAACATCACCAATCAATCACCTTAAATAATCGGGCTATAACACTGCTAATTTAATGATTAATACTAAGTAATTTGCTACTAGAATGAGTTATTTTAGTTTAGAATTATAGGGGTTTGGCAAAAAATCAAAGTTTTGTTCATTGGTTTATTGGTAACCCATAATAAACTGTCCATACAATATTTTCTTGGATCTTATTATGTAGAATTGTTGTCAATGTAAAGTTCTCATCCAGAAACTCAAACACTTAAATGAATGGTTAAATAAGCTACTGAGATATCCAGAATGGTTGATCCCTTCACTCATAAGTGTTTAGTAAGGATTTTTTTAAGTTGTAATATTTACTGGCTAGAATTGATTTGTTTTTATTTTGTTTTATCACAAACATACCATTCTGTACAATTACATTTTTAAAATTTTGCCTCAAAGGTTCAAATTTTTACATAGAATTGGATTATAATTGTTTTTTAAATTAATTTATTTATTACATCAATTAGTCAGAGAAATCCATCAGCAATTAAACAAAACAAAAAAAAAAATTGTTTAAAAAGATTCAAATGGCAGTTTACAGTAGCTAGATCATTTGTCTGGAAGCCATTGCCACATGACATGATGTTTATTTTTAATTGTATGCAGTTACCACACTTTCTATAAAGTTTCTGATTTAGTTCATTCAATAGATGAATGTTAATTATTTTATTTAAATTAATATTCCAGAGAGTTTATGAAAATATTGTATCAAACCACCTATTCAAGTTAACCAGTTTGATTTAATGTGTAAATTTATATGCTAGACAATTGGGAAAAGAAAATGACTTTGAATTAACCAGGTTCCACAGAATTTAAATTATGAAATAATTGACATTTGTGAATGATTTGTATTTGTTATTTATTAAAGTGTGTTTTTTAATGTAAAGCATACATCTTGAATGCAATAAAATAATTTAAGTTTTAATCATTATAATAATTTAAATTAATTTTTTTAGTCTGATTATTATTGAAAACATCAATTTTAAGATTATATCTTATAAAAATGATATGGTTTCTTAATGGGAATTATTTATTTAATTTAAATTTGCAATCATTTATGCTAATTACAAAACTTAAAGCTTAGGCAAATCAAAATAGGTGAGAAATGAAAAATTTTGTAGTAAATCTCTGAAACAAAAATTTAATTTAACACTTGCTTCTAATTTTTTTTAATATTTTATAAATGATTTATAAAATAAAATGTTTTGAATAGATCATACTACCAAACAAGAAAAACTAAAAAATTACAAATTATGTTGTCTGTGTAATATGGATACATATACATCTAAATTATGTTATGCTAAAAATGATTTAAACATCGCCAATCAATCACCTTAAATAATCGGACTATAACACTGCTAATTTAATGATTAATACTAAGTAATTTGCTACTAGAGGTAGACGTTAGGTGGCATCTCTTAACTAAATTAATAATTATAATTTAAATAATTTAGAATCATCTGGAAGAAAAGAACTGCCCCTGGAAAGGGCTTGAACCTTCAACCTCTGCTTGTGCAATGCACTTGCCAGTTGTGCCACCTGAACCCCAAGCAAGCCTTTGCTTCCAGATATATTTAAATTTAAATATAACCTTACATGATTATTAACTGTGCAAGGTTAAATCTAAATTAATATGTATATGATTGTAAAACATGCATAAAATATATTTTAAGATTAACATTTAAATGTATTGATCTAATAAATATTTTTTTTTAATATATTTTATTTAGTTGGTTGTCATCTTTTGGATTGATAGTTTATAGTGATAAGTTTAGAGAACACAATTTCACTTCTATGAAACAACTACATAATTTTACATTAGAGGTAAATTAATTTTTTAATACATTTTATATTTATTAAATTTTAATTTAAAATTCATTATAATAAAAATTTTTTTATTAACAGTCTATTAGAAACGTAAGTATTATCATCCAAACACTGAAATATTAAATGTTTTCAAATCTTACTCTTTAAGGTATATTGATGTAATTAGGGTTACCAAATGTACTTTGTCAAAATGAGAAAAGATGCAATTTGTCATTATTTTTGTACAGGCATTATTTCAATGCCTGTGTTTTTTAATGGCAATGGCAAACATTATATATCAATCCACATCCTTTTCCATAGAAAGCTATAGTTTACCATTTAACATAAAACATTTTAAATTCTAAAATAAACCAAAATTTGTAAATATAGTCAATATAAAAATGGTGATTTTTTTTTTAAAATCAAATAAATATAAACAGAATGGTTAGTTATTAATTAAAAAAATCGTTTGATTTTACTTTTTTTGGGATAAAACGAGATAGAGTGAAAGTTGGAGAGAGTGGTTATATTAATCACTTAAATCACAGAAAACGGGACAACCTTAGGTAGAATTATGAACACAATATGAAGAGCATAGGTATTATAACATTCTGGATAATTAATTACAAAATATTAATAACATTAAAAATTAGTAGATTAGAATTGGATTAATGATCCACAAATAATAATTATTTATTCATTCAAATTTCAATACAATAGTTCTTTGGAAATCAACTTCTGGTGAGCAGTTAATAAAATTTTGTTCTTTCTTATATTTTTGTGTACAAAAGTTAGCTGCATGCTTAGATACTTCTCAGCATAATCACCCTATAAATTCAAACGCTTGTCATAATGGACAAGGGTACATCCCCTTATTGAAGAAGTTGCTGCATGAGAGAGAAATTCATAGACGTACTGTGAAATCTTGAAAAAGTTGTATAGATCCATTCAAACAAATGAACAGGAATGCTGACATCAGGCATTGTTTCTGCATGACAATGCATGCCCGTACACAGCTGTTTGCACAAAAGACTTCCTTTGGCAGTTTCATTGGGACTTATTCTATATCCACCAAATAGCCCAGTAATTTTTCATTTTTCTTACAGATGATCTGACTGGGAATGCAGCATTTTCATACAAATGAAGAGCTAAATGATTGGCTCAGCAACCAGGTATGATGAGGGGTATACAGAAACTCATCCCATGCTATGATGCCTGAATTTACAAAGTGATTGTGTTGAGAAGTAGCTTTGACATTTAGCTATATTTTGTATGTAATAAAAATGTTTACTTCATTTTTTGTTTTATCAAACTGCTCTCCAAAGGTTCATTTTACAACAGCCCTCCTATTGCATATAATATATGTACAGAATATATAACTCTTGTAAACTGTGAGTGCATTGCTACTTAAACATATTTGACTTATTCCAGGATATAAAATAATTCTATGATATCAGCAAAGTTGACTTCAGGGGTGTGCTAACTGTGCATTCACATATGGCTCCTATGCTTAGAGGAACTCAAAGGTCTCATGTATGGTTAATGCTTAGCTTTCCATGTCTTGAAAAGGTCTTGCACTTATGGTTTTCATTGAGCTGCAAGAAATATGGAGCCAGTTTTGGCAATTAGCATGATAACAAATAACTGTTATGATTAAGATTATGAAAATATTTTCAAAAATTCAGTATATTTATTCATTATGTAAATAATTTATTTAAAAAATTAGTTAGTTTTTAAGTAAGACTTATTTTTTGCTAAAATAACAATGAAATTATAAATTAAGGAATATTTTTAATTTCTTCATCAAAATGAAGAATTTAATCAAGCATTTTTGTGACATTAGTTCTTGATCATTATTTAATTACATTGTAAAAATTACTTAAAATATTAATTTTAAACATTATGATTATTATTAATTCTGTGTTTTATTGAATAAAAATTAATAAATTTGATTCAAGATAAACGTCTCAGAAAATTCTTTTAATGTTTAAAATAAAAAGTGACAGAATATTTAAATCAATGTACTTTGAATCCTACTTACATTATCTGTAAATTTTAAAAATATATTTAACTCATTTCACTGGAATTTATCATTTAATCTCGTATCAGTTTAGTTTATTCTGATCAATAATAAGCACATTATTTAAACATTTGAATCAGCATATTATTTAAATATAAATTACATGCTGGTATATTAAACTTATGTAAACAATAAGTGATGAATAGGGATTGTAAATTTACCGACTTTTTCATTTAACGGTAATTCGGTAAATGAAAATTAAAATACCGGTTTACCGGTAAATTACCGGTAAATTTTTTCCTAAAAAATAAAATTAAGGTGATAAAAAATATAAGTAATTTTGATTTCCATTTCACATTTTCTATTTCAAAAGTATAGAATATAAAAAATATATAAATTAAAGTGTTATTCTAAACAAACTATAATAATAACTTTTAGAAACATAAATAAAATAATACAGAAAAATAAAAATAAAACAGAAATAATATATAGTACCTTTTATATAGTAATATATATAGTAATCAGTAAAATGGTATATATATTACTATATATTATTTATATATATAGTACCTTTTATATAGTAATATAAAAGTTATATATATAGTAATATATATACCATTTTACTGATTACCATTTTTCAAAAAATAACTTCTCAAGAAACTTAAATTATTTAAAGTCTTATCTCCTAATTTTGATCTAATTTTTGTACAAAATAATCCGGGTTAGGTTAAGTTTCTAGACTTTTTCGGACATCATCTTTAAGTAATAAAAATCTTTCCAGCATGTTTAGTAAACTATTCCACCGGGTTCTACAATCTAAAATTAAAGAAAGTTCTTTTCGTGAGAGTAATGGGGATTCCCCACGAAAATAAGGTTAGAATAATACATATTTTGCACAATCGTAAGGCATAATGTCAGAATCTTGTAATAAATATTTGTATTTAATTATTTTAAACAGTTGTTAAAAGTAAAAAATTTATTTAAGGTACAAATTTTAATGTTATTTTGCAATAATATTGCTTTAATGTCCTGTCATAATGTGGTGTATTCAAAATTGCTATTAATTTAAAAAGTACGTGAAATATTTACGTATTATTATTTTTAAATATTAAAAAAAGAGATATTTACTTACTCTTTAAGAAAAACGTTGATTGTAAAGATTTTAAACCTTTAAAAATCTCAAAAAACGGCAGAGCACAAATCACATATGCTAACTAGAGCTTTCTGTACAATTTACAGTGCCTCTCAAACCCAAGAAAGTTTAAATTAAAATTAAACAAAAAATATCTCACATAAAATTAATAATTAGGTATATTGTTGCTTACACTTATCTGTTTTTTTTTTATGTCTCTTTAGCCCTTTTAAATATCTATAAACACAATATTTTCTACATAAAAATTTCTAGTATGAATTTTTCATTTACCGAATTACCGTCAAAAATTTACCGGTAAGTTTACCGAATGTTTTGTGAATTTATCGGTTAACCGGTAAATCAGTAAACCGGTATACAATCCCTAGTGATGAATATAAATTTATAAAATTTGAAGTAATAATTCTGAGAAACTATTGCCAAATTATATGAAGCTTTATTAATAGTAGTAGTAATATAGCTCAATATGCAGTTTGGTAATTTGGCTTTAATATATAACTATTTGGATGTTTAATAATTCTGACAATGTGAATACAATTTTTATCTAAAATATTATTTTTAATAAATTTTAAAATATTATTATGCTATCAATTTAATAACTAATTTTATTAAAGATAATAAATATGTATATTTTTTTTAATAATAGGATCTAAAAAAATTGAGAATTGGTAAGGCACATTCATATAAGATTTGGGAAGAAGTAATTGCTTATAAAAAAGAAACTTCAAGGTATTTATATATTGAGTTTATCCAGATAACCATATTAGTTGTTATTTTTCATTAATTAGATTTTATATAAAAAATTAACATTTGTATTTTATTCAAATGTATCTATAGTCAAATTTTAACTGCCAGGTTTTTATATTTTAATGAAGTTAATAATAATAATAGTTGTTTACATTAAGAAAAACAAATAATTTTTAATTCAGTGAAGCATAAACTAACTTTTACAATAACAATAGGATAAGTATATAACTTAAAAAAATAGAAGAAACTAAGACCAAGACTCCACTACCATAAAAATGGCGTAAAACCCCTTGCTGTAAAAGCTTTTAATCACGTGACCCTGATATTTTACAGCGAGGGGTTTTTATGCCATTTTTACAATAGTGGAGTCTCGGCCTAAATCTTCTCTACTTCTATCATGTCCAATCACCAGAGACCAGTCTTCCTTCACAGAGATGATCTTTTTTTTTAGATGTTAAGCTTCTTCTATATTATGTAAAACATTTAAACATTCATTGGTGAGAAGCTAATAATTAAAAAATACAATTTAAAAATTGTGTTAAAATACCATCTGCCATTTAAACAATAACAGGATAAATATATATTTTAAGAATCATGTGTTAAAGATTTAAGTTTTATTTTATACTGTATATCACCCCTATATAACTGGTGGATTATAGTCAAAATCTAGACTACAGGAAAATTTTCTCCAATCAATGGCAAGTTTCCAAATCATCTACTTTTTCATTTGTGGCTAATGATTTTTCTATCAATATTGTATTTTCTTGGAATACAGCCTCCAATTGGTGGTAGCAAAAAATATGAATTGTAATACTTATTTCTTTCCTTTTTCTCTCTTATTCATCCAATGCAAGCAAATAACACACTGCAGATCAGAGTTAGTTGCTTGCCTAGATGAGTCAACTGATTCTATTGGCATTCTTCAGTTAGCCATTTTTATGAGATTCATTAATGGTGATGAATTTTTGAAAATACTGCTTGGTATGGTGAGATAAACAGAACAGGAAATATTTCAAGCTTTCAACAATACATTCAGTTTGCTTAAGTGCACTTCAAATGGGAAAAACTGATACCTGTAGCTATTGACAGTGCCCCTGCAATGAACAGTGAGAATCATGGACAAGTGGACTCATCAGAGTCAAAAAATTTTCATGCTGTATTTTATCACTACATTATTCATCAAATAGTTCTTTGTGCTAAGCTATTGGAAAGCTGCAGTGTTAATGTGTTTGCTATAAGTATTGAGTGGAATGGACAATTTTCTTAAAGTACTTTGACCAGTATCAGAGGCAACAGTTTTTAGAGTTTATGGAGAATGAATCTGAGATCATATGTTTAGCATTTCTGCCAGATATATTTGAACATATAAACCAGGTAAGTATAGTGTTGCAGGGACAATGTAAAACATTACCTGAACTTCTCAAATATATCCACAGTTTTATAACAATGATAATTTTGCAAAAGGATATTTTGGAAGATGCTCCAGTATTGTGTTGGGAATCAGCAGAACACACTACTGCTGTAGATTTCATTTCTATTGCTAATGCAGCAATAGAAATGAAATCTACATCTTGCAACATTTGCAAAATGAATCGGAGTAAAGATTCCAGAAATTTGATGCAATTGGAGAGTTGTGTGCAGTAGTGAAGAATTCTTTCAGTAGTAATATTATTTAGTAATACTTTCAGTAGTAGACATATGGTTCCAGCAAGCAAATGATATGTGCATAGAAGTGGACGAGGAAAATTTGCTGTGAGCTTAGCAGTCAGATTGTCAAATATTTAAAGAATGTGAGTTCATGTTCTCACCATGTTTACTTTTTTTTTATGCAAATGAGATTTCTTGAACATGAATTACGTCAAAAATGAGTACAGAACTGCCTCCAAATTACGACGATGCTGTATATGCCTAATTTCACAGCAGTGGTTAAAGGAAGTGCAGTGTCTTTCATTAATTATAAGGAGCCGTTTGACTCAATAAATAAATAGCACAACATTTATTTATTTAGCAGGATACTTTATAACTTCTATACCTGCTTAGAGACAACAGCATGATCAACACTTTTCTTAATACAGTAGAACCTCGAAAACTCGGCTCTCGATAACCTGGCATCCCGGATAACTCGGCCACACCCTGGCAGGGCAAAAAAATCCTTAGTTAATTAATTTTCATTATAGACAGCTTTATAAAAGTATAAAAGCTCTCATAAAGTATTTTTCTGAGGTCTGTCTTATCAGGTAAATTACTGTACACAGTGTATTCATTAATTTTCATTTTCATGTAGTAAAGGCTCTATGCCTTCATAAAGGACGTACTTTTCCTTTGTTTAAGGGTATTTGGGCAGTTTATTCTCTGTTGTATTCTCAAGCAAACAATACATACAAGTACAGTACAATATTTTATGAGGAAACACGCATACTTATCCTTTTTTAACCCCATTCCCGATAACCCGGCATTTTCACAAACTCGGCCACCCTTCGGTCCACATTAGGCCGAGTTTTCGAGGTTCTACTGTATCCAAATAGTGAGTGAACAAAATGTTATGAGTTAAGTAATAAATTAATAATTTAAAACTAAATAGTTTTAAATTGTTCCAGATTTATATGAAAATGAATTTAGAAAATCTTGTGTCTCTATGAAAATACTATATATTTAACGAAGACAAAATGTAAGAATTGCATTGTGGGACAAGACAAAAGCTGTTTCTAAAATTTAAGTGTACAAAATACATCTAATTACATAGTTATGCTATAATGTACTACATATATTTTTAATCTCTAGTCTTTGTTTTCTTTGATCATCTTGGTTTAAAATCTTTCTTTTTGTGAATTTACTCTAATAATCTTTCCAATAATTTCATGTCAAGAGTAAATTGAGTTCTATAAAATATTAAGTGTTTGTTGTTTAAGTACAGAAAATGAAATCCAAAGACAAACAGATACATTAATTAAAATACAATTAATGTAAAAATATAGCATTGTTAATGGATATTATTGATTTTATTTCAGATGTGGTGATTCCGGGACAGAATGAAATGAACTTATATGAATAAGAAGAGCTTGTAGCTTGATTACATTTTCATTATAATTTTTTAATTGTCTTTTTGTTGTTGAATACTTTTCTCAATTATAACAAAATATTAATATTTGATACTTTCATATTATACACAAATGTTCATGAGAGTTTTACATGACAGCAAATAATAATTTTGTTTGTTTGAGAAAGTCTATTAAGTACCTGATCTACTTTATTAACTTTTTATAATTTGTAAGTTTTGATTGAATGACATTTTTGTTAAGACTTATCAGTAAGATATTTCATCTTAATATTTCCTAAAAAAGCTGTGATATGAAAATATCTTGTCTGATACAATATATATTTTTATATTGTTGAAATTAACATAGTTTGTAAGACTTCTGAAAACTGCTACATAAAAAAAAATGCATGTTCCAGGAAGTCATTTTATATATAATGATTTTAAATGAATGTTTTTGTATGTGCATTTTTACTTTTTAAGAATAAAATTTAAATTTTATTATAAATTGTCTTTCTTCTTATTAAATGGAAGTATTAAAGTGATTTACTTCTAGTACCATTTTACATCATATTATTTTGAATTCATTTTTTTTATATGTTCTAATGCTTTTGTGCTGGAGAAAAACAAAACTTAAAAAAGAAAATATTTAGCTAGAATGTAATTTGTTAGTTTTATACTGTATAATTGTTTATAATCCTTTACAGAATTTCCTGCTTACCTTTTTATTACATGTATTCATTAATCTGTATTTATCATATGCCAAACAACAGTGGCATAAGTATATTATAATTTTGAAGATGTCTGTAAAAAAATCTTTTGAAGGCTTCCCACCAATCTAATAACGAAAATCATAAATTTTGTTTTTATTTTAAAATATTTGCATGAATTTTGCCCACTCATTGGGGGATTCTGCTGACCATGGTAAGGCACTTCCAAAGAGTACTATGGCAATGCTTTTTTCAGATACCCAGATATTGTCTATGGATTTATTTCTTTGAATAAATAAACTGACAAACAATAGATTATATATTGAAAGACTGGAAAATATAACTAACACTAACTTCAGTTATTGTTTTACCAGATATTTCAGTTTTACTATATTTGAATTTTGACATAAAGTGATTATTAAAATTATCAGCAATTGACAATTTTCATTTACATCTAATATAATTTGTGATATTAAAAGTTGATCTTGATTTCATGTTTTATTCTCATCACAGTGACCAATGTTGTCAGGTCCAAACGAATCTGGTTCTGAAATGAGGTTTCAAAAAATAACCAGTATTATATTTTTACTTCCAAGTTTAAAATTTTGCCATCATAGAAGTCGATTCCGTAACATTTTAGGTAATTTTTTTTAAGTTTAATCAATCATTTTTTTTTACTCCAATAAAAGAGGAGCCACAAAATCTTTTACAGGACTTATGAAAAGCTATCTATGGCACTGATAATGACATTTCCTGTTTAAAATAAATCTTAGAATGAAAAAAATCCATATGTATGACGATATATAAGTCATACATATGGGACTTGTATAGTGTTATATATACGTTAAAAGTAATTCAATCATAAATGTTTTGTGTAAATAATTTACACCACTCAATGTCATAAGAGTTACTTAAATTGCACTGTTTGTTGTATTTCTCTTCAGAGTAAACGGGGAATGTATATTTAAATTGCTAGCGTGCTTTGTTCTTTAACCACCGAGAAAAGATGTTTCTAAAAGTTAAATATTTAATTTGTTATGCTTTACAACTAAATATTGTAAAGCAAATTGGATATATAATGGATTATATCAAGTATGTGTATTATTTTAATTAATGAAGAGTCGAATATTACAAGATACATAATTGAAGTTCTGACTGTCTCACATAATGAAACACTCATGTCTGGAACACACAGCCTTGATTAATTGTAGGTACAAATTAGTATCTATATTGTTAAACAAGGTGATAATTATATTCATTAGTTTAGTTAAAATTTTATATTCTTAACTTCATGTAGTTAGTAATTTTTATAGTTATACACCCATTATTATATGTATTGATAAATATAAACAATCCCAAAGGATATTGGTCATAGAAGGGAACCCAAAATTAATCTATTTGATTTTCTTGATATACTTATATGTTTTAAACTTAACATTTATATGGCTTTTAAAGAGGGGATGGAGCATCATCTAACATGTTACAGAACCTAAACAAATTGATTTTCCTAAGTTTAATTTGTTGTTATACTAAATTTCATTAAAATTACTTTTCTAAATATATCTACATTTTTTTTCCTACAGCTTCAATAAAACTTTATTACTACTGCTACTACTACTAATAATAATAATAGTATTTAAATCAAAGATAAGTATTTTTATTGCAATATATTTTTCACATCCTGCTGTTCTCGCTATCAGTTTCAATTTATATAATTGATTTATGGCACTCTTTACTAATTGACGATAACTTAAGATCGTAGACCATCCATTATTCTATCTGACTGATTCGACTTTTCAATAAATTGATTTTAATTCCGAACAGAAAAACATACAAAAATTTCAATTACTATTTTTTCTGTGTAAGAATTTCATGCTTACTTCCAGGTAACTTATCATACAGGAACACGTTTTGTAGATAACGGAGTTTATTTTAGAAAAGGATATGCATTTCGGACCGCTCTTCGGTCCTTATTATGCAATTTAATAAAACTACAGAATAAATTATGGTAAAAATTAAACTATTTATTATCTTAAATACGCGTAAAAACCACAAAAGAATTAGATTACCTGAAATAATACTTTTTTTACGTGCTCTTTCTAGAAAATTGCAACGAGAGTATGAAAAATGTAGTTTGATTTCTATGGACTCACTTAACGACTTAGTCGTTAAACGAGGAGTTTATTCGTTTTTATTTGATTCTGGATAAAGAAACTGTCAAAAGTAATTTTGCAGATGACTTCGTATAGTAAATACTGACCGATTGTAGGAAATTAAGATTAAAAAAAGGGATTTCCGTCCCTGAACAGCTGGTCGTAAGTCCGAGCTGTCGTTATGTGAGAAATGGCTATATAGACTTCATATATACTGTATTTTATATATAAAAGACACACAATTTTTATTAATAATTGAATTTACTGGTTGTTGTCTCTGGTAGTATCTTTCCGTTACTTTCACAGTCATCTGTTAAATGAATACTCATCAAATATGCTCAACGTATTACAGTATATTATGCCAAGGAACGGGCTAACCATTATGCAAAATATGCAATGCACAGGGTCTAAAGCTTAAAAAAAAGAGCCTACAACGAGTTGATTTTTTACTTTCCCAGCTGTTATATACAGTAAAATAGAAAAAAAAATTTTAATAATTAGAAAGTTTTGTTTTTATTTAAAATTTCCATTCTTATAAACAATATATTACTTACGTATATTTAATATTTTTCCTAGAAAATATTGTTTATATATTGCAAAAGTTCACCCCCTGACCTTAGGATATCAAATGTCGGAGGTTAATATTTAAAATGCACGTTAAAATAGCTTTCATTTATTTAGATTTTTAATTCGAGAAAATATTTGTATTATATTTATTTAATTATTTAAAAATATTAACGCAAAACGTCGGATATATTTTTTAAATATTATAATTTTTATTAATTAATATAATGTTAATTGCATATACGGTAATTTAAAAGAATTGATATAAAGCTACTATTACATCTCGAGTGACTTTTACTTTCCAGGATGTTATATCTTATGTAAACAGAGGAAAAGCATGGGATCGATAAAAAAAAATGACCCCTAAACCCAAAGATGTATGTTTTTCGACTCGCTGGACCTTGAATGTCGCGAAATACAAAAAATTCGCGGGTTTTTTTCTGTGTATGGATGTGTGGGAGTACGATTTTGTTCACCCTCTTTAAAGCTTAATAATTCCTGTGCTTTCTGTCGAAAATTTCTGAAATTTTGCAAGGAGGTTTGTGTTGGGGGGGTCGATGCTATTAAATTTTGGTGGTTAAAGGTCGAGGTAAGATAGAGGGGGTCGGACTTAATGAAGACTTTACACCTTATTAGAATTTACAATTTTTTTTTATAAAACTCATCTTTACAATCAAAATTAAGTTTTGCCATTTTTTAGTAATTAATTAAAGTTATTTTTTAAAAAAATAAATAAAATATTATAACAGATGGCGCCACTACAATTTTTGCCAGGAAAGGTACACAACTCGTTGCTGGACTTTTTATTAAAAAAAAAAGTTTAAAAAACATTTATTGGGAGGATTTTGATGCAAACAAAAATCTATATCATATTTGTGGAAAAAATATACTTAAAAGCTTCATTTGGCCTTTAAAACCTTCCTAATTCGATCGGGCATAGAATTAATAATAATCCTGCAATCGTGCAATATTTATTTTCTTCCATTCATCCTGTACACGTTCCCATAATTGGTGAATCTTTCGGGCGGAGCTGCATAGTTTAAGAAAGGACTAGATGTATTCCATCGGGCGATTGAATACATCTTAGCCACTCAAGCAGGCTAATATTTTGATCCCGAAGCCTCGACATTGTCCTCCTGGATGTATGTTTTGGATCATTATCTTGCTGATAAATGAAAGAGTACCTATTCTTTTCTATCATGTATAGAACATAACATTCCAGGCCCAAAATAGGTAAAACAGTCCCAGATCATAAGACTTACCACCACCAAATTTCAATGTTGTTTGTACTTTTCGCTCCGGTCTTTCTAGCGTTTGGAAAGTAATTGCAGAACCTATAAATTCCCACTGACTTCCTTTGTCTGTCTGTCTTCTTCCTTAATCTCGAGAACGGAATTAGCGTGACTCCGTTGTTAACAGATAAAGTATGATGTACAGGGGCAAGACTACTAAAATTGAGAGCATTGTGACGATGTCAAAATAAATAATTGCTCGTTATTTCATTATAATTTTATATATCAAAGTTTGTACAGATTTATTATGTTAACTGCACCATACATTATCGTAATTTTAGGCAATCAAAGTGTTTTTATTCAAATTAGCTTTACTTTTACTGGAAAAAATGCATCAAAGTCAGGTGTAAAAACTAAGAAGAAATAGAAACTAAAGGGAATCAGTAAAAAAGAAAACTTGCAGATTTTTATGCTCTAAGAAGAAAATTTATTATGATTTGATTAGATATGCCGATTTGAACTTCAAATTCGAGTATGCACAAGCCAATTCAAAGATACTAAGGAGCTGATTGGAAAACAACTCTATAGGATTGGTTTTGTGGATTTTTCAAAGGAAATCCTAATATAAGTTTGGGAGCTCCGGAGGCAACAAGTCTGTGTAGAACTACCAGCTTTAATAAGAATTTTTTTTGAAAATTTGAGATGTATACTGATGGCTCTGATAGTCCATGGGAAGAAGAACATATCTATTTCAGGAAGAATAAATTCACACGGATATGTGACTTTGTTTCTGCTGTCATAGACATGTTCACGAAATTTGCC